GTGAAATGGAACAGTAGGAGGGCACGGACACGAAATGACGAAATGTCGCGTTGACCTGACACCCGACCGAAGTAAAGATGTAAACAATGGAACCATCCCAAGGAACAGAGATTGGTCACGATGACGTCAAAATGACGTCAAAACGAGGTCAAGAAGTCATTGGTCAAAATGACGTCACCAAAATTTTAAAAATGACGTCATTTTGACGTCATTTGACGTCAAGATGACCCTTTTACGAAACCGCCAGTGACGCCTCCGTGATGTTATTTCGACGATTGTAAGGAGTGACATGTGAGATGAGATTCGTGCTCTGTAATATAGGGTGGTACATTTTAAAGCACCCTACGGCCGGTTATGTTTCGCGGCTAGAAGACATACAATGGTGAAAAGGTGGAGCTTGAAACAGCAGCCCATGGTCCCGCGCGAAAGGATTTGTTGGTGTTTATCTGGCAGTGCCACTCAAACAACATCTAACCGAAAAGCAGCTTTTACTTATATACCAGTGACTGGCCTGTAGAACTGGGCCATCGTAAAAAGTAACATACGGGGTTTGCAATGTGGTGAACACATGCACAAGATAGGTTAGCGAGGTTATGTCAATACTCTAAGTCCACTTCATAGGAATTAGTACATCACTTATCATAAACTTAAACCCCACACAACTAGCGATTGTACGCATTATACTCGCTAATCCTAGAAATCAACAGAGACGAGAAAACACACAATACATCATCAAATAAGAGATTGCAACCGAGGGCACAAAATGGCAAAGTTGCTGCTGGCGTTGGCGCTCTTTTAACTGAGTCCTCCAAAACCTAACACTCTAAGAATGTTGGGTTACAAGAAACAAAACTCAATACTTACAATACGCTTAAACAATAACAACAGCACAATAATCTTGAAAGCAAGTCTCAGCAAATCGCTTTAATCACTGCGGAAACAATGGCTTGCCGGCAGTCGGGTGTCGGGTCGGCGGTCAGCAAAACAGCAGGTCAGGAAACCTAACTCTGAAATACTTTGTCATTAATAAAGGGGAAATAAAACACTTCAAATTAGTTTTTATTGTAATCGTTTATGTCGGTGGTTATAGAATATATTTAAA